AGCTTTGTGATTGGGGTTAAGATTTTTGATATGAGCAGTTAGTTGACATTTGTCTTCCAGAAAGCCTGTTTAATCCTGTGTGCATTTAAAGCACACCTGTGCTTTGTGTCAGTGTCCACATATGCATTATGCTTTGTAAGGTACTGGGTGAAGGATTAGTTTGCCAAATATGAGTAGTTTATAGTGTATGCTTAACTATTTTGTTGAATATCATGGCAATCTGTACATTGGTGATAAATAAGTACATTATGAATACATTATAAATACATGAATCACTATGTATTTATTGATACAGTTTAATTCATGCTTTTTTTGTCCATGGCCTTTTTAGAAAACAGGGACTGTTAAGTAAATATCTGAAGATGTTTCTTTTGGATGGAGAACTTAGTAGCTATCCTGAACAAATTAAACAAAAACATTTAAATAGTATTTTTCATTTTGAACTTTTATCTTTCTAGTTTGCAGGAGGGCTCTTATTTACTGAGTCATGCTGCAGGAGATTCATCAGTTGCAATTTACAAGAGTTCACTTGACAAGACGACAAGAGCATCATATAACTTACATAAAGCTCATTGTGATCTGCCTACTGTACCTGCCACTCTTTCAGTCCCATGGGTGCCACTAGATCCCAGCCTCCCTTTACCCTATCACATCAATCATGGAAGAGTTCCATGCACCTTTCCACCTGTACCCCAGGAAGCCATGTGGAAACAGAAGGTCAGTAGTTCTCTTGGTGGAAAAGCAGATAAGCAGTTTTTGTTGCTGTTGTTTTTTAGTAAAATAGAATTTATGATGGGAAGAAGAATGAATTGTCTGCATCTTAAGAAACTTTTGATAGAAATTTTGTGGAAATTTTTTAGGAGTACAGCCTGCTTTGTAATTTATGCTGCTGAAGAAGTGATGCTTTGGAAATTTCCCAGAGATCCCACTGTCAGCTCTAGCATTATGAACAGGTAGTACACCACTTCAGAAGTAAGAAGTTTTTCAAGCATTATTTTTCTTCAGCACAGATTTACACATTTATGTGAAAGCCACATGCTAACTATGTCTAGCTTAGTGGACAATGAAATGCTTTTTAGGCCCAGTTTACATGTTTTAGCCACATCCTGACTTCATATGAGGTAAAATAGAGTTCCTCATTACCTTATAAACTTCAGTTTCTGCCAGAGGAAATCGAGGCACATAGGCAAGAAAGGTGGCAGGAAGAGAAAGTGTGGCCTCTGAGCCTGGCTGGAATGACAAGGAGAAGGCAGTTCTCTGAAGGTAGTTGTACATGCTTGTGCTTAATACAGATTTAAGATTATTAATTCTAGTTTGTTTGGGGGTTTTTGATTTATTTCTTTTTCTTTCTTCATTTGTGTCTAGATGACTGGGGCGAAAGGACAGTCTGACACACCCTATGAGGGAAAGCCAGTAGCTATGGAAACAAAAGGCAATCCTGCTAAGCCTGCTAGAAATGAAGGTGTGGCTGCAAAGAAGCTGAGGAGAAATTACTGCAAACAAAGAATGATGAAGAAAAAGTGGAAAATGAAGAACAACAAAATGCAACTGAAGTAGGAATAACTGAACCATGCTGTGATAAATCTAGCCTGGTATAGGACAGGAGAAAACAAAAAATCTGGGGCTTTCTTGCAGCTTCAAAGGAGCCAGAACAAACTGGCAGGGGAAGTGGCTCCATAGCTGAAGCATTCTGTAAACCTTTAACCCTTTCTTACCTCAGTGGACACATTTCTAGTGAAAATGTCAAATTCAGTCAAAGGAAAAAAGAGGAAGTGTCTGCAGCTTTGGTTAGGGGACAGAAGTGTCTTCTGTTGGTTTCATGATTTTTGTAGTAAAACTGTGGCTTGAAGAATGAAGCAGTGTTTGACAGCAATATCTGATACCACGTAACAACAAAAAATAACTTTTCAGCTTTCTTAATTCGTCCAGAATCACTGTAGATTTTTATTCTGACACATTTTAACATTATGTTTTACTTTGTGTAATATGTATAAAGGGAACAACTTGGATTTAGTTACTTAATCCTTTTAACACACAGTATCTCCCACTTTTAAATTACTTTTAAAAATACATTTTCTTTTTAGGACGGTGTAACAAATGAGGTTTAGCAAACAAAATCTATATTTATTTGAATAGTACATGCCATAAATTTGCACTAGGAAACTTGGGATTACAGCTAGACAGGTAAAAAGAGGTATTTTTATGCTTCCCCAAAGCAATTTCCAAAAATTGTTTGGATTCTCGTGTGTCCTCAAAAATGAATATTGCAGTTATTTACTGTATTACTGCACGGCCATAGCCTAAATCTCATATTAGATTGCACATCGTGTCCCTGCCCGTGGGACAGGTGATTGCACATGGTGTCCCTCACAAGAATAGTTAGGGCTAGGGTTAAGGTCCTTTCCAACCCTGACTATTCTGTGATTCTATGCAGTAGTACTTACCTAAGGTATTAAGGTTTGCTTGGAGGAACAAGCGATAGGATCAAGGCCGTGGTCAGTGTTGCAAAAACCCAACCAGACTATGCTGTGCATCAGCAATTTGTTCCAAATTTAGAGCCAAAGTGACAGAGTAAAGATAGGAAAAGGGAATACTTACTGTCTATGAAAAGGCCAAGCAATGTGATGACATGAGGTTTCCTGCTGAATATGAGTTGTGTGGAAAAATTAAAGCCATTTTGAATGTTGGCATGTAACCATGTTGTATTGTGTGATATATAACTAACATGGTTGCTTGTGAGTGAAGATTTCTTTGCGTTACAACTGTTTTCTGGTACATATTTTCAGAGTTTCATCAAATAGACTTTCAACAGAAACAGTCCTTGAAACTGAGGCTCGAAAATGATATTCACTGTCATTACTTGTGGTTTGTATTTGTTTTCTGGATTTCTGCCTATATTGTCCTCTATTAAAAGTATTGAATTTAGAAAAGCTTACGAATTCTTGAAAGCCATGAGTTCAGTAAATTCTTTCCCTTTTTTTTTTCTTTTAAACAACAAAACCAACTATTTTAAAATGTCTGAGCCAGTTTTTGTTTGGATGATGTTCTGGAGAGCTGTTGGTATGGATTAACTGCTTAAATAAAAAACAAAGGCCTTACAGATGATCTTCCAAGTCTTTTGTTTCGACAAGGAAGTTACCAGGTACACACATCTGATCAAGTATTCTGCTCACTGGGGCTTGACATGACACGTTTTAACGTCAGGAAAATAAAAATAAGGGATTCAGATTGTTTACTCAGGTATACCTGTTGTATAATCCTGAAGACAGCTGGGGTTTGGTTTTGTTTGGTTTGGGTTTTTTAAAAGGAGACTTAAACAATGAATGTATATTAAACTGTTCTTTATGAAATACAATGCATTTCCCTCACCCTAACCCTCAGCATACTCACTGTTAAATATATTTATAGTAGTATTCAATTTGTTCTTCTTTTGGCCACTGCTTCTTTTCACTGCAGTGCTAACGCTAATGATGTGCTGAACTGGCATAGAGCTGTTTGCAAATGACAAGTTGTTCTGATTCAAAAGCCTCAAAGCACTTAGTGACCTCTCTTAATAGGAATATTTTAGTTGTGAGTCATTTCTGCCAGGTACCCAGGTCTGTGGGGGAATTCAAGGGATTTTCAGCTTCTCTATATAAAAACTTTTGCCAGACTCATGTGGAATTTAGTTTCTTCTTGCAGTTTTGTATGTTAGAAATGTATGGTTTAGTTGCCTATATGTCTGTATGCCTAAAAGACTTGCGTCTTTCTCTTAATGGTACACTATTATACTACGCTAGTGTACTGTTAATGATAGTATGCTAATTGCAGTTTTTTATCTGTTTAGGTAGGGAATCTGGAGTTTGTATACAACACATGAGATGGCTTTTTAATTCACTGTTATGTTTCATTTTATTGTTCTCTTTTGGGCTAAGTTGGACTGAAGTAAATTGCTCTGAGATGATGATTTACTTGTTTGAAAGACTTTGGTTTTGTTCTTGTACCATGGGTGGTGTACCAAGGTGTACTGTATTGATATTTGCATCTAAAAATCTGCTTTTTTTTCATGTAAAACCTATTTAAAGCAGTGATAGGAGGACAGGACAAAAGGGAAAGTGTGTTTATTTCAGGTAGTAACAGCTGAAATTTTAAACAAATGGTTGAATCAAAATAATTGGTAAAAAAATACTTCAGTAAAGTCAGAGGAGGTGCTGGATTGCTGGTTCTGTATAGACTGCTCCTCAAGTTACAGCTAGCTGTGGAGGAAAAAGAAGGAATACAGAGGAGCCTAACTGTTGTGATGCCACCAAAGTATAAATTCCTAAATGTAATACAGACTGTAGAGCTATGAGAAGCAGAAACTCTCCTTCAGCTGCAGTTATCTGGGCCTGGATTTTACTCTCCAGGTAATTGTTGCTCTACAGCTAACTAGTGCTGATCTTTTTTATGGCCTCAAGCCACTCAGTTTGGGGAAGAAAATCCACAGATCTCACATCCATGAGGGCCATGAGGATGATCAGGGGACTGGAGCACCTCCTGTAGGAAGACAGGCTGAGAAAGTTGGGGCTGTTCAGCCTGGAGAAGAGAAGGCTGCGTGGAGACCTCATAGCAGCCTTCCTGTGTCTGAAGGGGGCCTACAGGGATGCTGAAGAGGGACTTTTCATCAGGGACTGTAGTGATAGGACAAGGGGTAATGGGTTCAAACTTAAACAAAGAAAATTCAGGTTAGATATTAGGAAGAAATTCTTTACTGTGAGGGTGATGAGGCACTGGCATAGGCTGCCCAGAGAAGTGGTGAATGCTTCATCCCTGGCAGCATTCAAGGCCAGGTTGGACAGAGCCTTGGGTGACATGGTTTAGTGTGAGGTGTCCATGTCCATGGCAGGGGGGTTGGAACTTGGATGATCTTAAGGTCCTTTCCAACCCAAACCATCCTGTAATTTCAGTCCTGTAATTTCCGTCTTCGGCTCTGTGTTTGGAATGGATTGTGTGTGTTCATGTTGCAATTTATATGACTTTATTTCTGCTGTAATAAGTGTTTTCAAACTATTTGCACTAATGAATCATGAACTGTATATGTTCCCATATGTGACTGGCTAAACCTCTTCACCTTCTCTGTTTGACTGCAAAACTTTTTAGGGGTACAGTAGACACTGTCTATGTAAAATGGTAAGAATAGATTTACTATGGTTTTGTGCTCTGTCTCCTAGTGTAGTCTAGTGGCTGGAGGAACTAGGACCAAGCGACCAGATACCCATTCCGTGCTGGCAGCGGGGATCTGCCAACAGCAAGGGACTGTCTAACCTCATGCAGTGAAGTTCAGTAGCAGACATTGAAGAGGTACTTTTTCTGCATCTGCTTTGCTTGACCTGTATTTTAAATAGCAGCTTATCGCTAAAACAACATAAGACTAACTTCAGAAGTGGTCTTTAAAAATGTTTAGTGCTGACCTCCATGTAAGCTGCATTAATTTCTACTAGCATTTTCAGTATCTCCCCCTGTCTGAGCATGACTGGATATATAATTTTCTCAGATGCTTATCCAAGAAGTTCCATAACTAAGCTCCTTCTTTCATAACAAAATGCAGCCTTTCTGTTCTGTTGGTCTTGCTTCCCCTAAGGTCTGCTCCTACCACAGCTGCTGCTGTAGTGCATTCATGCTGTGGTTTTAAAGGAATGATGCAGCATAAGCTGGTCTTGCTGAAATTCCCCAGCTCTTCTAATGTCACTTCTTCTTCCTGGTATACTTTTAGAGAAGTATACCAGAAAAAGAATTATACCAGAAGAGAGAAGAGCATAAGGATTTTCTGTAAAGAAATTTGTAATACATCCATGTTAATAATCAGTATAGCCAAATTCCCTCTAATATCAATGCTTCTGGTGTATTTTTCAGAAACTATTTAAAAGCATCTCTATGAATAAAGTGAGACTATTTAATCACTTCATTTAATCACTGAAAATCAAATTTGATGCCATGGTGCAACCTTGAAAATAATTCTAGTCTGTTCATGATTCTCATTGCAGACTTTAAAATGTGTTTATCCCATAGTTGAGCGAACACCATGAATGCCATCCCATGCCAGGCCTGCTGCAATTGGTGGTTCACTACATTCAAAAGCTCCACCTACCAAATCTTTCCACAAGCAATTCAAAACAAAGACCAGAAGAATGCAAAAAGATTCTAACTGATGTAAGTCACTCATCAGTCTGTCTCATGTGGGCTGTGCTGCCTTGCAGACAGGCACTTCAGCAAATATTTTGATAGTCTGGTTAAATTTGACCTTAAAAAGAGGGTAAGAAGTAGCTGTCAGAACCCCATTGCTGCTTATTCCCCCTGCTGAGCAGGTCATGTAGCTGTGTGAAAAGCTACCTCAGCAGTCAAAATCCATTTATTTCAGAACCATGTAGTTAACCATCCAGTACTGCAGTTGTACAGTTCTGTTCCCTGATTGACAGGACAATAATCTCATGCAACTCTGGATATTCTTTGTTAATAGCAAGAGTAATAAAATAAGCAAAGATATAGTTACTTCATAGCTGCACATGCTACTTTGAACAGGTTTTTGTGGTCATTTCCAAATTAGTAAGTGCTCACATCACAGCTGAGATTCTTTGGCTTCTTTGTGGGTAACCTAAGCAGAATGCACAGTAAGATTGATTAGACTGATGTTTTTAATCCAAAAGCAGCATATTTAGGTTAAGAAACCTGGAAAGAATACTGTAGTGACACTATCTCTTGAGAAGGAAGAGATTTGTGGGTCAGCTGACCTATCACAGACTTGTCACAACAGCCTTTTTTTTTTTTTGTATTTTTTCCTAATAACAAGCAGTAAATTTGTATGAATCAAGACGTTTGTTTCCTGCCTTCTTCAGGGACTATATTTCATACAACATCACATTTATCAAAAGAATGCAATATCTTCCATTTATAGGTTTTCTACTAGCCCAAATAGGCAAACAGAAAATACTGAACACATTTCTTTGGCTTTTAAATGCCTGTGTGTTCATGCTATTGTGTGTGTGCATGTGTCAGGCTGTGGCTTAAATTTGGAGATCCAGCTTTCTATCCTGGCGAAATCCTCCTGAAGACTTTAGCCTCTGTCTCCGCAGGAAAGATGACAGCCATCAGTGTCTCCATGTCTGTTCTTGCTGATCAGTCAGCTAGGCTTCCACTCCTTTGCTCTACTGTTTTGAGCTCAGTTATTCTGTACATGCTGTACACTGGCTGCTGGCTATTGTCTTAACGACTTCCTGGATGATTGTAGCATTAGGAAAATAAACCTTAGTGTTGAGGACTTGCTTGAAAATTATCTGTGGTTGTGCACTACAGCCTTTTGTTTCATCTCCTGCAATGTTAAATATCGTTTCCCTGCGTGAGCACTAGCTACTAGCATGCTGGACACAGCAGTGAAAGTTACACAGCTTGAGTAGAAGTGTTTCCTGAAGGCTTATTTGAAACTAAATATTAATGAAAATGTTAAGTGTTGCATGTACTCCTTCATGCTAAAACAATAGGCTGTTAATATGTTTTTGTGATTCATTAAAGGAAGAGATCTCTGGTTTTAGAATTCAGACCTGTGTGTCTGACCTGGAAAAGCAAGTCTTTACTTGCCTGGCAGAAACAAGTCTCTTCATAACAGCCATTCTCTTTCACTCAGTCAACAGCTTTTTTTGAAGTCAGCTTGATTTGCCTTAAATTTTATCTAAAGCTGTGAGATGCCACTAGAAAGAGCTAAAAAAGACATCAGTGTTGACAGTCATTTTAATCAAGAAACTGTGACATTCCTTTGTCTCGCTAGTACCTCAGCTGAGCCTAATTAGCTAATGAATATCAGATCATGTAAGAACTTGCTCAAAACCATAACTGCTTTATGTTGTTTTGAACTAAACCAGGGTTGATATGTTTTAAAACAAACAAAATCCACACTATTTCACAATATCATTGTTCTTCATTGAAATTTTACAGCTGCGTTCCAGATTGCTGGAGTATTAGTATGCTGATTCCTGTCAGTGAACTGTAATGTGTAAGTGGTTTTTAAATTCGTTTTCATGGGTTATCTCAGAGGTGGCATGATAGTAAATAAAAAGGACATACTTCTTGCAGTGTGCAGTTACTGGCCTGCAGATCTACCATAGGAACCTGTTGCTTAAGGATTTTTAGAGTAACTTTAGATGGTGCTTCATCAGATCCCTGGAAACTTTCAGAATTGCTCCCCAAGATTTTCAGGGACATATTTAAGGTGTGACACCCTCCCCTGTACTTCTACAGAGGCCAGGACATTAATCCAAACCATGGGATTGTTTGTGTTGTGAGTCACCAAAGTGGAAAAAGCTCATAATGATGGGAAACAATGAAGCTGGAGAGACTTGATCTTATGTGAAACCTTTTAACACTGTTCCTCGGAAAAATTCCCTGAGGACTTTTGGCAGCTTCCATTTTTTATAGCTTTTTTTTGCCTTCTGGCAAGACAGGCCAAATTCTGTAGTGATTATTCATGCTGGTCTGTTCTGGATGATGTCAGGGGCTCCTACGTGCACTGGTAATATTTCCTACCGGGTTTTCCAGTGTGGTTGCAGTCTGGTGAACATTACTGTGGAGCTGGCAGCTGTGATCGTTTAAGCTCTGTGTCATCTAAATCGGTTCAGAATCTCTTTTAATTCTTTAATATCTACTGGTAGTCTGTTTATGCTAGCAGTACTGTGCTGATATTGCTGGGAAAGCTGGACTCCTCTCACGGTGGCTTTAAGATGTCTCTTTTTAACCTGTTAGTGTACATAGGAGTAAAACCAGCACAGTACCTAGATTCAGATGGAGCTACAACTCTGACCTGAAGTAGCTTAAACAATGCTTGAAAGTTTTCATGATAACCTGGGAACAGAAAGTAAAGTTACGTTCTTTAATGTCTGACAATGCTTTGTGGCCCTTGTTTTGTCTCGGATTGCATGATTTTGGGATAAAAAAGGCTGCTGGCTATCAAGCAGGGCATCAGGATGTCCCCAAGGCACTGAGGAAATCCATGGAAAGGCAGTCACACACGTAGCGACTGTTTGTATATCCTGTGACTGTTTCATTCAGTGTAAGGACGCTGAGTTTATTCATGCCACCAATACCAGCACAAAGGATTTGTGTTTCATTTCTGTTTATGATGTATCTAGGCGACCTCTCCTACTCACACCCCAGATGATTACTTCTGCGAGGCACACTGAAAAACCAGAACGCTAGTGACTCACATTTTAGCTTAGAAATGGGATTGAACTCCAGACACTGTTAATACTAGTGATAGATGTATGCCAGAGGAGATGCTTTTCTGTTCTTTGGTACCCATGTATCTGAATTGCTTGTTTACCATTTGTTCATGGTGTATATTCCTTATTGAATCTCTGTGTTACTTGAATATGTGTACCTCTGTGGCTTACTCCAGTTTGCATACCAAACAGCAGGAGAGAATATGGAATAGCCTGCACTGAGTTTTGAGGGGAAAAAAGCCTACTGCACCTTTGAAGTTGCAGGCCTGTGTTGTTTTTGCTGTGTCAGCTAAATGAGAGTTACAAAGGATCTTGCTTCCTTCTGAATTATCTTGACAGAGCATAGATAATTCCCTGTTGTTTTCTGTTGAAGTGGACAGCCAGTGCAATGAGATTTTGCCATGGTGACTCAAACTTTATGGGTTTTGGTATTGACTTTAATTAGTCTGCATATGTGCCCTGAGACAGCTTGTTTTGTTATAAACTTCTGCTAAAGGAGTATCTTTGAGTCCTGTAACTAGTCTCAGCTAGTATTTTCCCTCGTTACTTTCTTGTCTTGGTTTGGACCCTAAGTCACCCAGGCATCTGGTTCTTTGTGGAGGCAAGCTCCTTGTGCCCTAGGCTCAGAGCGGAAGGATTCACTGAGATTGTGAGATAAAAGGAGAAGGACGATAGTGTTATTTAGACTGGTGATGAGGAAAGTATTTGAAAAGCAATTAGAGTTCAAACTAAGATTATGGTCAGACATGCATGAAACTGGCAGAGAGAAGGGATGCTGAACAACAGACAGAAATCAGTTTGCATGTGATACAGACTTGCAAAGTAGCTGAAGACAAATCCAGTGATAAAACAGTATCAAGATGTAAAAGGAGACTTTTGGAAGTCATATGCAAGATACAGCTAACTGGTGGGAGACAGAGGTGGATGTTTTACTAGCCATTACAAGTATTTACTGTCAGGTTCTAATGTGTAAAGCGCTTTGAGAGTCTACATGGGAAGTAACTAGAACATAACGCCTGTCATGTCTTTGTTACAATTGCTAAAATAGATCCTTTAAACAAGGTTATATCAGCTTTCATGTAATGTAGACTTTGTATGAAACATATGAAAATAAACTGGAAACTATTTGATAAGTCTAATTTATTACTGTATGTTGATGAAGTTATTTATGTTGTTTAGCATTTTCTTTAGCAGATGCAATAGTCTTTGCCCTAAAGAGTTCACAGTCAAAAGACAGGACCTAATCAGTGAGAAGGCAACAATCTAAGGTCACACAGCAAACCATAACTCTGCCAGGCATACAGTCCTGGTGTCCAGTTTCTAACCCGGATGCCCTAGTCTTAAGCATACTGCCTCTCTGAACCCACTCTGAACTAGCAAATGCCACCCGATATAACGCTTTGTTTGTAAAATACAAGCATAACAAAATATTAGGAGATCTGGCTAACACACAACATAACATCATTCCACACTTGAGTCAAGCTCTTTAAAAAGGATTATTTCAAATAAACAGTTTCTGAGCGGAGAATAACATTTGTTCAGGAATGCGCACGTAGTGTAGGAATGAGATTGCGCAGACAGAATTGGTCCATGAGCTTAGGTTGTTAGGTGGAGCACATAACAAGATGTCTGATATTGATTAGACAAAAGATGGCATTTTATTCTAATTCTGGTATTTTATTATTCAAAAACATACATTGGAATTACAGTTCTGGGAGACTTAATCATTGTGGCTGTCAATGAAAAAAACTGCACTCCCCCTTAACACACAACCCTGTCCCCTAACACCACTTTCAGTGTTTAGAATTTTACTAATGTGGTCCAGGTGTGTTTTTAGGAATCCCTCCTCCTTTCTTCATAATAACTGGCCAGGTTATTATGGCCTGAAGAACAGCCCCTGAGAACTCAACTAGCATAACTTTTAAGTTAACTTGCTCCATCACCTGTGATTACTCTTAAGTGCTAATATCAAATCTACGTGAATTTGTGTCATGGAAGCTCCCAAATTAGACCAAATAATACAAATGCAAAAATAATAACACCCAGAGGTCTGCCTGATCCATATGTTAATTGGAGTGGAATTTGTACTATCCTCTTGCAACATAGCGCATTGAGGGAGGCAACACAACACAGAGGCTCAGCCACACCTACAGCTGCACCAGAAAGTCCTTTGTCCTGATTACTTCTGAATAAAGAATAAAGTTTAAGTAGGCAATAGACATTGACAAGATTGTGGCCTTCATCACTCCACTGCTAATGCACCTTTGATTCTTTGTAGACAGCATTCTGAAAGAGCATGAGCAAGCTCTGTGTGGACAAAGGAGCCAAACAATCAGGGACAGAAGTGAGGGAAAAATCTATTGAGACCTGGAGTGACCCTGTATGCATTAGTGTTACTGCGGATATACAATTTGGGTCAGAGGGAAACAAATGTAATATTCAAGTGTAACACATCAAGCCTCCAGTAGTATAGCATAAGACAAAGATAATGATAAGAAAAATCAAATGTGTTGGTGAGGTAGAAGACAATGGTATACTGAATTGAAAGAGGGAGGGGAAAGAAATTAACTTAGTGTCAAGCAATATTAAGCAGTAACAAAACAACGGGAGAATTTGCAATAGCCGTGTCACTGATGTGAGAGAAAATGGACCTACAGCATGTCCATAGGGTAGGTATAGGTTGAACCACAGCGAGCTGTTGGAAGGGAAGAATGGGAAGTTGGCACAATTACATCTGTTTTCTCATGCACAGGACTCTGGGGAGCTCCAGTCGACACAAGTGCACCCCCTTCAATTTCAGTGGTCAGCATGCAGGAAGCCAGAGAGCACAAATAGGTAATTGCAGCTGAAGTACTTGATGGTTATTTGAAATATGATCTTCTTTGCAGATATTTTAAAGGGGCTGGGGGGGGGGAGGGACTAAGCAATGCGAAAACTAATTGAAACCCTTTCTTGGTACTGCCTTATTTGCAGGCTAGTTGCAGTGTGTTTCTTCCAGTAAATCATCTGTGGTGCAGGCAGAGAAATACTGGGCTTGTCATTAGTGTAGTCCTTGTCCCAGCCTTCTGCCCAGCTTCATGCTGACAGTAGTTACTTTAACATAGTGCTCAGGAGCAGTGGTCAGAACCCCTTATGACAGGGGTTGAACAAACCCCCCAGGCTTTGGGTAAATCTTCAGGAGTAACTCCTGTAACATAACAAGCTTATGTCTCATTATAAAAAGCAATCCAGGCACTTGGCTGCTGTTCTCCCATTGAATTAATTTCCTTTCCCTGTTTGGCAGGTAACAGAAATCTTTCCTATTTGCACAGCCTGACTGCTGCCTTCTTCAGTTCGCTGGCTTTGCAGAGGTTTTTCTTAAAGGTATGAAGAATATGTTTCTATGGGCAGGATCAGGTATTGGGGGATGGCTGGTTGTTCTGCAGAAAATGTTAATGTGTTTTCTGTTGTTCATACTACTTGGATTCCCCAACTGGTACAAGTGCCTTTGATGTCAGTTGACCTACATAAGCAGAGACCAATTGAGGGAATTCATAATATGTTTGAATATGATGTTTATACCTTCAAGACTCTGAATATGGGTGTTCTTTTTCTTCCTATTGTCAGTCTTTTTTCTTTTGAAATCATTTCAACAGTCCCTGAAGCTTGTGTAAGTTCAGAGAGGCTGCTGTCTGTTTTAAACTGAGGTGAATGTGTGATTCTGAGATTGAATAATTGATGATGAAGTTGGATATTAAAGACAACATTTCTGAAGCTGTTGAAAGTGCCGGAAAATCTTTGTGCTCCAATTAACGTGGCTGTAATGATAATAGTCCACTTGATATCAAAGCTTTTGCAAACTCTTCATATGAAGATCTGGTTAGCAGAAATTAGTGGTGGCATAGGAGCTACTTCAGATCTTAAGAAGTATTGAGTTACTAAAAGGAGAACAGTTTTCTAAGGATATGGGAACAGTAGTGTCATTGGAGCAGGCTGCAGTAGAGGACTGAAAGGTAAATGGACCTTCAGTTATGCTCTAAACTCATTAATGTGTGACTCAGCAGATTTTTGTACAAGAATGCAACATGTGTTGGCAATACATTACACATGTGAATGCACTGTTTTCAGCTGAGGGTGTTGTGGTTATGCTTCTCTGCTTTTGCGTTAAGAATGTTTGACAAGAGATCGTAAAAAATCTCTCCCCAAGGGATTGTGCATCCATTAGTAGGCAAATTGGCTGCCTGGCTTCTGCTCAGCTGCTTATCCTATTTAAAGCTCCTAAGGATTACTGCAGGATGGAAGGGCTTTTACTTCTAGGACCGTAAGGGGGTTTGATCTGTGAATCACCTTTCCAAGTTGAAGTTACAAGTGATTTTTTTTTTTTCTAAGAACTTGAAAAGCAGGGGGAAATTATCTGTTTAACTGTCAGACACTGCTTGAAGTGTGATACCTAAGACTTAATTTTAAAGCCAGGCTCATTAATAACAGAGAAATAACCCCAGTGGTCTTGCCAAAACTAAAGTAATACTGGCGCTGATGTTCTCTGACCAAATGCTGTTGCACAATGTGCCTTTTCCAATGGCTGTCCCCTTCATGTTACTTCTGTGTATACAGGAAAGGGCAATTAACATGTTGTTTTCACCTTCTGCAGTGACTAGTTCACCAGTTCATCTGTTGCCTCCATGTTTGAAGTCTAGTGTAGGATTTCTTAATATTTCTCTCTTTTTGTATCTCTGATCTTGTTTCATCCTAGCAATTATTTTGTCCCTTGGACCATCTTCTTATGTCTCTCTCTTGCTTGCTTGCTTTTGCCACCACTGGTTTTTATGTACCTGGCCAAGCCTGAAACTTTCTTACCCTCTTTTTCTGGCAGAAGATGTCTCTGTGCCTAAAAAAAACCTTGTAAGAGAGGCAAATCTCTTTGCAGAATCAAAACCGCTCTGTGACAACGTACTTTTGAAAGGACTACCTAAAGGTATTCACCTGCAGGGGATTGAAAAAGCCACACTGAAATTACAGGGATAACAGCATGTACTGGGAATGGGGAATGCTGGCTTTTTATCAGCAGTGAATTGGCTGTGCTGCTGTGCTGGAGCAGTATTCTGAAGTGAGCCAACTGCAGATCATCTTTCACAAATACTTTTTGCTTTCTAACTATATCATGCTCTGTTACCGTCTGACACCTGTGCTTCAGTCACTTATTTTTCAGCAGTCAGTCTGGCAGAAGTTTTTATTTCCCTTCTTCCTTTCTGTGTGTGCTGTGGCCTGTCTGGATTATTTGAGCATAGTACAGTGAGCCGCAGAGCTTGTGTCTGTCTTCTAGTGTTATTGCTTGTGGCCTATGTCATAGAACCAGTAGGCTGGAAAAGACCTTTAAGATCATCAAGTCCAACCATTCCCCCAGCACTGCCAAGTCCACCACTAAACCATGTCATCGAGGGCCTCCATCTACACGGTTTATGAACACTTCCAGGGACAGTGATTCCACCACTGCCCTGGGAAGCCTGTTCTAGTGCCTGACCACCCTTTTGGGGAAGAATTTGTTCCCAATATCCAGCCTAAACCTTCCCTGTCACAGCTTGAGGCAGTTTCCTCTTGTCCCCTCACTTGTTCCAAGCCCTTCACTGGCTCTGTTGCCCTTTACTGGACCTGCTCCAGCACCTCAATGTCTCTTGTAGTGAGGGGCCCAGAACAACACAGGTTTTGAGGTGCGGCTTCATCAGTGCCTAGTACAGGGGGATGATCATTGCCCCAGTCTGCGGGCCACGCTATTACTGATACAGGCTAGGATGCTGCTGGCCTTCTTAGCTACCTGGGCACAAGCTGGTTTATATTCAGCAGCCATCAGTCAGCACCCCCAGGTCCTTTTCTGCTGGTCACTCAGAAAAGACTGAATGACTTCTTACAGCTCAGACACATACTGCGCTCTGAGCCCTGACTGTTAAGTACTGTCGGTGCGAAGCGGTCTTAGCCATAGCCGCAGGAAACTCGGCTCGCTGCGCCAGAGCCTAGGGGCGAGAGGGTGCCGTTCTGACGGGTGGCAGCGAATGCCCCGCTCAGTGGGGTCCGGGCGGCTGTGCAGGGGCTGGGGAGTGACGGCAGATCCGATCCCCGCACCCCAGGGCCCTGCTACTGGTGCCCCCCCGGGGCTGTCGGGACCGGGGCGCTGCAGGGCACGGTGCAGCTGACGCGGCTGTTCCTGCCCGGCCCTCGCCCACCCCGTCCCTGCTGCGGGAGGCGGGCGCGGCCCGGTGAGTCAGCGCCGAGACGCGGGGCTGGCGGAGGGGCGCCGGGGCGGGCAGGACCCGCCCGGCCCTTTAAAACCCCGCCCGGGCCGCTGCGGGCCGCAGCCGCCGCCGGAGCCGTCGCTAGAGCCGCGCTGCTCACCCCGGCCAGGTGAGCCCGACGTCCCCGCAGCGCGGAACGGAGCGGAGCGGGGGGAGGCAGCAGCAGCCCCGCGGGGCCGGGCCGGGGCTGCGGGCGGGCGGCGGGAGCGGAGCGGGCGCGGGGCGGTGGCTGGGTGCGGCCGCTGCCCTCCCGCGACCCGCGCTCTTCTCTTCCTTCTCTTCCTCCGGCGCTGCGCGGCCGTTAGTTACTGCTCTGTGCTCGGCTTCACGTCGGAACGGGGGCCTCTAAGGGCGAGGCTGCCCTCGGGAAGTTCCATGCGCCCGCAGCACCTCTGGGTGTGGCGGCAGCGCTCAGGGGAAGAGGAACCGCTCCCAAACTCAGTCAAACTGCCCCACATACTCTTTTCCTCTGGCGGAGGCGCACGGAGGCTCAGCTGGGTTAGCGATGGTGGCGTACGTTCACTTTTCAGCCCGGAGCCTCGAAGCGACGCGGCTGTTCCGCGCCGGGCGGTGAAGGCAGGGTTCGCCCGGCTGCGGGCCCCGTGCGTCGGGCTCGGGCTGGGGCTACGGCCCCTGCCCTCCTCCCCGGGTGCGGCCGCTGGCAATGCTCCAGCCGCTGGCACGGGCACAAGAGAAGCCCTTGCGCAGGCAGATGTTCCGGGTAGGCAGTGATCCCCGAGTCTGGCCTTCGATCGCACCCGCGGCGTGTCAGGGAGCCCTGTGCGGTTCCTCGCTCTCAGAGCCAGGCTTGGCAGGGCGCGGCTGTCCCACCCTGCCGCGTCTGTGAGCGGGGTTGCTGAGATCCTGCCGCTGCCTTGTGAGTCAGCCTGGACACCACTTCCCCCTCCTTGAGCAAGGGGAGACAGGGCAAAGGAATGTGGCCGTGTACTTCAGCTGGAAGAAAAGTAAAATGATTTCAGATAGTCGTGCAGAAGTGGGTGGTGTTCTTACAGATGTCAGCTTTAATTCTGATTGATGCTAGTTGTTCTTATGTTCACATTCAAACGCCATATCCATTCAGAGATGCGCAGAATCCAACATACAGGTCAAGAATGAAGGGATCTTTTGGAACCTCTGTGCCTTGAGTGATCCATCCATAGGTGTGCTTGCCTTCTGTTGGTGGAGCTACTTGTCATAAGTAGCCCTTGTGAGTATAGTTTCCGTTAGCTAATGTATCAGATAGTTTGCCTTGATAAAGTGGTTTTCCTGTAAAGTCCCAGAAGTGAGAATAACTTGAATAAGGAGAAATAAAAGTCCTTCATTTTGTATGTGCATAACATCTTCCTGGAACGGAACATCCCAGGCTATTATCAGAGTCTGGAAGAGAACAGTTAAAGTATCTTTGTGGTACAAAGGGGTTTGAAATCCTTTCCTTTAGAATTGATGTTTTCTCCAAATGGTGGCTTTCAGTGTTCTGCTGAACCTTGTCCCAGGTGATCTGGGGAGATATGGTATGTGCAGTTGGTTAGCACGGTATGTAAGTGCATGATTTTGAGTCATTATTCCATGTACAGCAGATACTGCACATCTTCCTCACTCTCCCTCCTTTCCTCTGTTGGACCAAGCCCTAGTTTTTGGAGACCTGACATAAACAGCCTCCAAGTGAAAGAGTTTCCATTCTCTCATTCCGGGGATGCCGTTTCCTTGGCTCAGATGTCTGGGAACACCCATTGCTCAATCTCTGTCTATGAACATATAATAAGGGCTGCTTAAAATGCTAACTCTGCTTATTGAGCACTGTTATTGCTTGTGCATACCTGACACTTTTTGGATGGCTCACATGGGTGTTTTCGTCTTTAATGTGTGGGAGCTGCCTCTGGGAGCTGAGATATGGGACTGGTTTTAAACACACACTTTTGTCACCAAACAGTTATGGATATAAGGTACTGAATATAGACTAGGCCCAGTGTAACAACAGGTTTGCAAATCGGTAATTAATTACTGTGGGGGTCAAGTTCAAAACAGATGCTGTTTCTTTTAGTAGAGCAGCATTATGGTTTACGTCATGTGGATTTAGGAGGAAAACTGCTTGTAGAAACTTGCCTTAGGGTATTGAAGTATTAGTTTACACCTGGAAGGTAGAGATTGATTCCTTTTCCAGTTTATGGAAGAACAAGTTAGTGCAAGTATTTTCTGTTTGCATGTTCAGACCTTCCCAGAACTTGTCAAAACTACATCAGATAAAATCAGTCCCTCAGAGAACAGCGAGAGTCTGTTCTCAGACATGAATGCCTTACAAAGCAGGGTGTGACAAGAGATGGATTTGTTCTCCCAGGAAAGATCTTTCTCTGCAAAGCTTCTTGCAAAACCTCTCATTTTTTACTTTTGCCAGCTTGCTGCTGATGGCTGGTTGGTTGCTATAAGCCTTGTTGTGTGCTGATGATATGGACCTCTCAGTTCCAGCTCAAGTGAGGGTGTGATAGTTCTGTTCCTGGACTCTGTTCAAGTTTTTTGTTCCACCAAGCCTGAATCAATGTTGGTTTTAATTGATTTAGAAGCAGGAGTGTTGCAAAAAGCTGATCCATGGTTGTTTTGTGAAAGATTATGCTGCAGTTGCTTTGCTTCAGTTTTCACTGGTGTTTTTCATTCTTTCTGACAAGCAAGACTACAGGACTTGAGTTGCTCATCTTTGTACTGGTTGTAATGCTGTCAGAGTACAAAGGTTTCATTGTTAAGTACTTCATTTTATTAAGAGTAAACATTAAGGATTTCATGACTCAGTAATACATCATCCCCTTCTAACCAGCATGGTTAATAGTGCCAGTAGCAGATAGCAGCCTTTTACAATTCTGTAGCCAGTCTTTGAAGGGCTGGGCTGGATTTTTGCTCAAGAAATTAATCTCAAATAAATTGATGCATGACTGAATTTCATTCTTTCTCTTATTTTTCTGATTCCCTGGGATCTTACTTTTCCCTTGAAGTAAAGTTACTTCTGTTACATATGCCCAGGTTGCTTCAGAAGATGAAAGGTTTTCTTTCTGTATCCTAAGTGAGGAAAGGTGTGATTACAGCAGTTAGACTACAAAAGCCATCTAATTGTGTTTCTGCATTTTATTCTCATAACACTTGCTATACCTGCTAAAAGGAAGGATTTCTCTGCTTTCTGTCTGCAGGTACAGTACATTTATGGGAGCTAAAACAAAAAATAAACACTTGTTCTATAGTTTTAACCAGATCCCCATGATTAAGAAACTGCTTCAAATTTTGTGCTGGCTCTCTGAGCTGTTGGTTTCAGACTGATCATGGGGTGGAGAGGAGTTTGGTTTGCCTGGGAAGTGTGCCTCAGTGGCTTGTACTGCTTGCCTGGGAGAGGCCCAGCGCCGGCAGAACAGAGACTGATGGAGAATAAAAGAAGAATCTTGACAACCAGTTGCAAGGCCATGCGCAGGCCTGGCTACGCAGTTGCTGGGGGTTGGCTCGCAGAGTGTGGGAGCTGGACTTGGGAAAACAGTGACAGCAATGAAACCAGTGCAGTTTTGGTTCCAGGCTCAGTTGCAATCGGTGCAATGTCAGTGGCCTTGAGGTGTTGCTGTCTTTTCTTTCCTACCTCTCATCAAGCCAACACTTCATTTTTGGATAATGCTCTCCACAGCTTGATCATGGAGTTCCTGAGAAACAAGGTTTAACTTCCAACAGGCAAAATAATACTTGCTCCAGGTACGAACATGAGTGACTAGAAGGGAATGTAAGTGTCAATGTCTGCCCTTTCAGTAGAGGAATTTGAGAGTAGAGTTTTGGGAATATATCAGGCCTCTTAAATATTGCCTCTGGCTTACAACATTTGGAAAAAAATCCTACTTAGTTAAGAGAGCCTTCCAATAAAGGAGTAACACAGCTCTGCCAAACTTCCCTGGCCAGAAACCAGAGCTGAAAAAAGGCAGTGCCTTGTAACATAAGCATATTACATCAGTGTTCATTTCTGCAGTGCGTATAGTCTGTCTCAGGGTTGGGGTTTTCCCTA